AGCAACTGCATCTCGTCAGTGTGTGTCATCACTTGCTGGTGCAAATGATTTTTTTCGGTCTCTGTCCAACACCTCTCAACATGGTTTCGTCAGACTGGGGCGGTATTTGTTCATCATCGACCGAGTGAGGAACCGAACCCCCCATCCAGGCACGGTGCCGCAACACTGGAACTCAACCACTGCACCATCACCCCCTCAGCCACTGCATCCTCATTTCTGTGCGAGTAACAGCTGGGATTTCGCAGCGGTGTGTCTCGGCTGGCCTACAGTGCCAAACAAACTTTCGTAGTTTACATTTTTCAAAAAATTTCCAAAAACATTTAGGAAGGGGAGGGGGAGGGCTTATGAGCAAAAAATTGCATGATTTTGAGGGTTTTATTAGAAACAAGTCTGAGAATACCAGCACGAGATATGTAGTTCTGTCTTTTCACATGGGTACATTTGCTACTTTATATGGTGGTTAGGGAGCTGTACTGATGATGATTCCCACACCTATGCACACCTTCTGTTGTCTATGTTTATAGCTAAGGGATGAAACACAGAAACAAATATTCCTGCATGTTCTCAGCACATGAGATATGAATATGTCACATTGTTTATTAAAACATGTTCCAAAATACTGCCTCCCAACCCCTACATCATGCGCATTAGTTTATTTCACATGGAATATTAAACTTGAATCTTCCTATTCCACTCTATCTATATGTATTTTTATACCAAATTCAGTGCTGTGCTGAAGTAATTATAGCATACAAGTAGATCCTAGGAGCTTAAGAAGCGAAGGCATGGAACGAACTAAATATGAATCAATATGGAAATAGTGAGTTAAGACGTTTCGGTCCATTAAGTCATATATGTCTTAGCTCAACACCACGACTGGACCTTGTCAGTATGACGGTGGTGGTGTTCAGGGAGGAGAAAAGAGAAAGAAACGAAGGAAAGGGGAGGGGTTTACTATTATATTAAATTTAGAACTGTTGGAAAAGGGTAAAAAAGTAGTAATAT